CGATAATGACAATGACCTTGATAAGACAAAGATATCACTATTAATAATAACAAAACGAAATTTCATATCACAACATACAGTATAATAACCCACTGTATTTATTCTACAGAGAAAGCTAAAATGAGGTTCATCTACATCCACATTATTGTCATTCTACTGCTGCCAATGGTGATTATGGCAGCTGTCCATGGATATCCAGGTGAGAGAAGAAAAATTTAATCACTCTTTCACTCTTTAATTGAATTGAATCTAATTAATTTGATTTATTTATTCAATCTAATTTAATTGAATTATTTATTCAACTTAAGTTAATTGAATTATTTTTCTTTATTTAATTTAATTAATTTAATTTGATTTAATTTGTCTATTTAATCTAATTTGATTGATTTAATTTATTTCTTTAATTCAATTTTAATTAATTTATTTGATTTATTTATTCAATCTAAATTGAATTATTTTTCTTTATTTGATTTAATTAATTTGATTTGATTTAATTTGTCTATTTAATCTAATTTGATTGATTTAATTTATTTCTTTAATTCAATTTTAATTAATTCAATTTAATCTAATTAATCTAATCACTTGCACTCTTAATATTGGGTCTTGATTCCCGGCTATTATTATTAGTCTGGGGCAATTATATAATATATATATATATATATATATATATATATATATATATATATATATATATAATATATATATATATTTATATATTATTCTTTTGGAAATGAGAAATTTTGTTTGGCCTGTACTAATCTGCAAGTATAACAATTGTATTTCTTTCTGTATTAGATCATGCAATAGATTACCACACGATTATATTCACCATGTCTCAAATTACAGCAATATAATTAGTACCTTAAATCCACAATCAATCTCAGGGAACATATAATAACAATAAAATATATAATCCGATAAAATGAAAGTGAATAACTGAATACAACTCTATGCACGAATCAGCATTCCTCATTCATTCCTTTCTTTCCAGATCGAAGTAAGCACGAATCAGCATTCCTCATTCATTCCTCATGATCGACACGAAAGCATTCGATCGAAGTAAGCACGAATCAGCATTCCTCATTCATTCCTTTCTTTGCAGATCGAAGTAAAATCAGAAACCAACTTTTAGGAAACATTCCGTGTTACTTTTACGACTCACACTGTGCTACGCGAAGACTCTGTCACACTGGCAAGGATCACCGAGTCTGCAAAGGCTGTTATGTTGGTTCTATTTACATTGACGTGTCTCACTTCTGCAATGGAGAGGGCATGCTGTATGACACAGACAACAAGGAATGTATATCAGCATTGTACGGTAAGATGTTCAGTTTAGGTCTGTTTGGATATTACTTTCTTCTTTTATCTCTCTCTCTCTCTTCTCTCTCTCTCTCTCTCTATCCTCTCTATCCTCTTTCTCTCTCTCTATTTTCTTTCTATATGTGTTTCTGTGTGTATTCGTTTGTGTGTGAGTGTGTGTGTGTGTGTGTGTGTGTGTGTGTGTGTGTGTGTGGTGTGTGTGTTGTGTGTGTGTGTGTGTGTGTGTGTGCGGGCGTACGTGCGTGTGTTTATATGTGTAATTATTTCTTATATCGTTTTTGTTTATATATTCATATCTAGTTCAATTACCTCTCCTTTTTTGTACCTAACCCCTATTTACCTATCTGTTTTATATCACACACATTTTACCCACACTTACCCAACCCACCCACCGACCAACATAACCAGACTGAACTCACCCCCAACTTCCTCCCCCCTCTCCCCCCGCCACCTCCCACCACACAGCCACGCGAGCCTGCCCCACTATCCTCCCTGCCAGTGCGTGTGGCAGGCCAGTTCACCATCCAGTGTTCCAGCACCGTTACTCGTCCAAAACACGACTGGATCCTGGACCTGTACTGCACGGAGTATAACCTCTGTACCGCGGGCAACTTGTACCAGGTATGGCGTGGCGTCTTGTGCTTTGCGGTGCGTGGTCTGGGGAGAATGGGTGGTTGGGTGAGTGGAATTTTTTTTATATTGTTTAAGAGTGAAGTTCGGCGGATGTGGATTGAAGGTTGGAAGGAGGGATAAGGGAGGTGTTAGTGCTAAGATTTACTACTTCTTTTTTTTTTTCCTTTTTTCTTAATTGGTTGACTGTTTCTGGGCTCGGTGGAGTGTATATATAAGCGCTAGGCTATGTAAGTAAGCGATAGGATGAGAGAAAAGAGGGGGAGGAAGGGGGGGAGAGGGGGGGGGGAGAGGCGAGAAAGGGAGAGGGATACGAAGAGGGCAAAGAGGGGATGGAAGGATGGAAATGAGGGTCCGGATAGAAGAATAAAAATAGGAATATAGGAAGCAAGGGGAAAAAGGAAGGGAAGAAAACAAAAGAAGGAGAGGAAAGGAAGGAAGAAGGAAGAAGGACGAAAGGGAAGGACAAGGTGAGGGATAAGAGGTAGGGACGGGGACGATAAGAGAGGAAGGGCAGAGAGAAGGAGAGAGAGAGAGAGAGGGAAGAGGA